CCAACTGTGAAAGCAGCAAAACTGAGATAAATAATTTTCCTGTATTTAAAACAGGTCAGAAGTATTATCAAACAAATCAAGCGTGTACCTGTGTTGAGACACCTTGTCTGCACACAAGACGTGTATACACACATCAAGTCATTTACCCAGAGCCTCTTGCTCCTTCCTACCCACACAGGGTTACAGGCTTGCCTTTTCCCAGGCCCTTTATAGCCCCCAGCCATAATCCAGAGAACAAAAGCCTGTTGTGACCTGTTAAAATTGGTGCTTCCCCAGAAGACTGACCCCACCCCCACCCCCACCCCCACCCCCACCCCACTTAGCTAAGGGAGGATGGTGTGCAGTCTTTGCCCCTCCCCTGCTGTCATCCTTACCCTCCATGCTCTCTCCCTCCCCTTCCACCCCAACCTCCATTAACTCACATCACTTCCTTGTTATTAATTTCCTTGCCAGGCAAATTCTTACACAGATGCCGAGTTCCCTTTCACACTTTTTTCCTCAGAGAATAAAACTGGCCAAGGGCCAGCTATTCAAATCCCTGGGAGTTGTGTCAAACCACTGCTTCCCCCTCTACACCCACCCAAGAGAAATGGGAGGCAGAGCATACAAAATGTGAACAGAATTCCCAGCAGATCCCGGCTGCTTCTCACCTCTCTGGCCCTCCTTGAGAAGCAGCAGGCTAGACTAGAGGCTCCAACTCCAGCTCCGGCTCCAGCTCTAACTTACAAAACAAGAACATTATTGAGAAATTTATTTTAAATACCTTCAGTAAGCTTCAGTTTAACCTGAAGGCTCTTGCATTTAGGGCTATCTTAAAAGTTACATTCAATTCATGCTTTCAACGACTAATGTCTCCTTCCTCTAAACCCCTTCTTTCATTTGTTTGTTCTTTAAACAACTGAAACTGAAAATGGCTCATGGACAAAATGCTAGTAATAGTGATTAGGAAAGCCCAAAGTCACACATGTTTAAGTAACATTTAGGCAACGTAAAGAAACTTTTAAAGTCCTTGAAATGACCCATAAAAACAAACTGATGGTTGAGGGGGGTGATGAGGGGACAGGAAAAATGGGTGAAGGGGAGTGGAAGGTACAAGCTTCTAGTTTCAGAATGAACAAATGACAAGAACAAAAGGCACAGCATAGGGAATACAATGATATTGCAATAGCTTGTATGGTGACAGGTGGTAGTTAGGCTTGCGGTAAGCACAGCAAATACAAAAACTTGTCCGATCACTATGTTGTACACCTGAAACTAATGCAACATTGTGTGTCAACTATACTCAAATTTGAAGTGGTTTTGAAATGAAAAAGTAAAAATCCTTAGAATGGATAAGAATTTCACTTAGTTCATGCATAAACTATATCCACTGTCCCATCACCTTTCTAGTGGCCTATCCCTGCCCAAGTTGCAACATTCAAAATAAATTTTAAAATGGCTTCTTCTTTAATGTTGCTACACTTTTAGTTTAAAGATATATCTCACCTGAAATAAAATGCTTCTGCACAGGGAAGGAAAAAAATCAACAAAATTAAAAGGCAACCTACAGACTGGGAGGAGATATTTGCAAATGACTTATCCAATAAAGGGTTAGTATCCAAAATATAGAAAGAACAGATATAACTCAACACCCAAAAAACAAATAATCCAATTAAAAAATGGGCAGAAGACATAAACAGACATTTCTCCAAAGATATCCAGATGGCCGACAGACATGAAAAGATGCTCAACATCACTCATCATCAGGGAAATGCAAATCAAAACTACAATATCATCTGACACCTATCAGAATGGCTAAAATCAACAACACAAGAAACAATTAAGTGTTGGTGAGGATGTGGAGAAAGGGGAAACCTCTTCTACCTTTGGTGGGAATGCAAATTGGTGTAGCTACTACGGAAAACAGTACGGAGTTTCCTCAAAAAAAAAAAAAAAAAAAAAAAAAAAAAAAAAAAAAAAAAAAAAAAAAAAAAAAAAAAAAAAAAAGCATAAATACAACTAACACAACTAACACCCTTTTGAATATTTTCTTCTTATCCTAAAAGATAAAGCTTTATAAATCGGCATGATGCTACACTGTCCCAATCTTTCCATCCACCTTGTGGTATACATACTTAAAAAAGAACTAGACTTTAAAATTAGAAGACAAATTGGAGCCTTAAATCTACCCCTTTCTAGTTTAGTTTATGAGCCATTTATAATACCTGTTTGTGCCTCAACTTTTTCATCTGTATAATAGGTAATATCAACATTATCTAAGAAGTTGTGAGGAACCAATAAAATAGCATATAGAAATGCAGCTCAGACAATATTGGGCTATAGCAGTTCAAAGTTAAATGGCAATGGCCCCAAGTTATAGCTACCATAGTGTATGTTTCATGAGGTTACACAGACACTGCCCTGGCACTCACCCTTCATTTCTAAGAGTGACTCTTCTTTTTTTTTTTTTTTAATTTTTTAATGTTTATTTATTTTTGAGACAGAAAGAGAGAGCATGAGAAGGGGAGGGGCAGAGAGTGAAGGAGACACAGAATCTGAAGCAAGCTCCAGGCTCTGAGCTGTCAGCACAGAGCCCGACGCGGGGCTTGAACCCACAAACTGTGAGATTGTGACCTGAGCTGAAGTCAGACACTTAACTGACTGAGCCACCCAGGTGCCCCGAGAGTGACTCTTCTTAATGAAGAGTCTTAAACATCCCTCCCTTCTCTTAATAGGCAGAGAATACAGGGAAGTGAAGGATACTGCATATTAGAGAGCATATAAGTTATCACATCTTGAAGAAATAAACTCTAAATTTTTTTTTTAATTCCCGGTTAGTAAGTATTTAGTGGCAGAGCATATTGGAACCAGCAAACTCCAAACCCACAGCATTGTTAAAAAGTCTGCCCAGAGAGGACTATGGGCAAGTGCCCAAACAAAGGAATATGGTATAGCATAAGTTTGTTGAGTAAGGCAATAGAGACCCAAAACTACAGTGTCTGAAAGAATGGAGATATTTATTTCCCATGAATGGTCCTGGAGTAAACAGTCCAGAGCTGGTGTGGCAGAAACTGTGGTATCAGAAACTGTGAAGCCAACTAGGATGGATGATTCCTCCACCACCCCCAGGAAGTCACTTCATCTACTCATCCAAGATGGCCAATCATTACATCCCGCACTCGAGACCACAGGAAGAAAGAAAGGGAAAAGGGGAAAGGAGGGCATACCTGTTCTAGGGGCACCACCTGGAAATTACACACATCACTTCTCCACATACTCTATTGGAAGAACTTGATCACACATAATACCTACTTAGAAGAGAAAGCTGTAATATGTAATTTGCTGCCAAAATTCTGGGTAGCTAAAAATTCTGTTACTACGGAAGAGAAGACTACTACGGAGACCACAAGGCTTTCTGCTACTCATTTAGAGTTCTTCTGTCATGGATTTAATCATCCTCAGTAATCCTCTTATCTCCTAATCTTAACATTCTAACATGATGAAAACCTTGGTTTTTTTTTTTTTTTTTTTTAAGCCTAAAATATCAGTTTGAGTAATCCTTACTGAATAATGCAGTCAAGATTGTGGTGTCCAGAATGGGAAATAACAGGTAATTTGTAAAATTTGGAGATTTCTCATTTAATGAAGAGAATGAAGAGAATGTTATTTAATAAGATTATTTATTTTGACACATGTAAATATTACATAAATATTTTAGAAGTACAAAAAATGTATAAATATGAGTTATTACCCTTCAATTCCCATCCCAAAACTGATCAATATTCCATCTTCAGATTCCTGTTCCTCTGTAGCCAGTCCTCCTGTTCCAACCCTTCTCCCCTCCAAAAAAAAGTGTTCTCCTGGATAATTGTGCAGTGTCCATACAGCTCAGTACATAAAATCATAAGCAGATGATATCTAGGCATCAAAAGTCTGATGCTCCCACCACGAATCCAATGGCTCCTCTTGGCTTTCCCCTGAATTCCATATCATGTGACGGGGTACAGTCTTTTGTAAAGTTGCACTCAGATTGCATTGATTTCACTATTTGGCACTTGCTTTTGACCTCAGGCTAGCTCCCTAGATTTTAAGATCCTTGGAACTCTCCTGGATTCAGCTTCTTTAATACTTAATCACTTCCCTCCATTCTGACCCTTCCCTTCTTTCCAGAGCAAACCTAGAAGTTCACTCCTAGAGTTTCTTGGTAATAATAGCTCAGTTACTGTGACCCAAAAGGGGAGGGTGCTTTTTCTGTAACACCTGCCACAGTATATACCTGTTTCATCTTTCTCTTTCTTCCTTTTCCTCTCTAAACCTTTCCTTTCTTCCTTTGCTCTTTGCATCCTCTTGCTAATTTTAAGCCAGTCTGCTGACTCCTGATTCACTCATTGCTAAGCCCTTACCCAGGGCTCTTTAACTGAACCTCAAAAATTTAATGATGTGAACTCTAATGTATTGTTTAATTTAGGGGAACATCCCCTTATACTTGAGTAGCCCATGGAACAATGTGGTGACTTCCACTTAGCCAGGGATGCAACACTCATGCAAACTCCATGATAAGTAATGCCTCAAGCAAGCTCCTCAGGAAAAAAACAAAACAAAACAAAACAAAAAAAACTGCCTAATATTTTAAATTTTTTAAATTGCAGAATGAACTGACATACAGGCACTCAAAGGCCCAGGAAGTCAGATCAATAATTACAAAAATGAGGGGCGCCTGGGTGGCGCAGTCGGTTAAGCGTCCGACTTCAGCCAGGTCACGATCTCGCGGTCCGTGAGTTCGAGCCCCGCGTCAGGCTCTGGGCTGATGGCTCGGAGCCTGGAGCCTGTTTCCGATTCTGTGTCTCCCTCTCTCTCTGCCCCTCCCCCGTTCATGCTCTGTCTCTCTCTGTCCCCAAAATAAATAAACGTTGAAAAAAAAATTAAAAAAAAAAATAATTACAAAAATGAATTTCTCAGACCATTGGGAAAACCGCTAATGGAGAAAATCTTGCTCCCAAACCAGGAGGTGACTCCCGCCACTATTTACTACTGAAATTCCACCATATGTTGAAACAAAGAATCTTCTTTGCTTTTGTTTTCAGTTTAGGATGTGTGAGAATAATGAGAACAGAATGTCCTGGAGGATAAAAGGTGGAAATAATCATACAGATGGATGTGGCTCCCAAATCCATCTGTACGGAAGGGAGATACTGTAGCAGGGTAGCAAGTGAATATGGAATGTAGAGGATGAGGAAATAGATCATTAGCTTCATAGCACCCATATGAGCTTCAGTCTGGGGATTCCAAAAATCAGTGGCGTTTTTCTGCATCTTCTGTATATGTCTCCTCAAGGAATGTATTAACAAGGAAGCAGAAGTCACATTCATGATGAACTGGAGAAAGAAGCTCAGGACCAAGGAGGTCACCAAAGACAAGATGCTCTTATTGATGTCACATACTGTACCATTGCTCCCAGTCAGAAACTCAGGAAAGGGTGATGTCTGTGTGAGCACAACATACAGGAGAGTGGAGAAGGCAGAGATCAGCACGCAGGCCAGCAGCAGCCTGGGGATCTTTGGGGACAGCTTTCGTTTCAGCAGGAGGAATATTGAGTGTTGGAAGTCAGTAATCTTCACACAGTACAAGGCATTGAGCAAGGTTACAAGCCAGAGACTAGTAGACTCCAAAAACATCCAACACAACAGGAAAAAAGTGGACAGGTGGACTGACCTTTCGACATGTGGAGAGGTGAACAGGTAGATAATGTTCAGGAGAAACAGTCCTAGCATAATAAATCTGGTGACGCCCAAGCTGAACAGGATCCTATTAGAAGAGGAGATTCTGTGGCTTTGGACCCAAGTCCTGTAGTTGACCACTACGATAAACAGATTTACAATGAGTCCTACAAAATTCAAAATTGCTGAGACAGTAAGAGCAGATAAGAAGAGTATCTGATGCATCTTTACTCATTGAGAACTCAGCGGTGGTGGTGCCGGTGCAGGGGCAGGAGAAATCCTGAGAGGTACAAGGAGGCATCAGTACCAGCCAGGAAGGGTTTCCTTTTCCAATTGTCCCCCGTGTGGCAAATGAGCCATCAATGGTCTAAGAGCCAGCTGCTTTTGCTGAGATGCAAATCTTCCAAGGATTGCATTACCACTTCTTCATTCATATCCTGTTTTCCTTAGAAATGGCTCATTCAAACAGCCTCAGTGAACCCGGGAGTCCACTCCTCCAGGAGGAGGCCAGCTGGAGGGAGGAGTTATGGATGGTTCCAAGGACTTCCAGTCCGAGTGACAGGATCCCAGTCCAGCGATGCTTGTGTCACTGTGTCACGGTGAATGAAGCTTTTCTTCGTAGCACGCCCAGAATATGGTGCAAGTTCCCAGGCTTTATTCCCGCCCGCCCACCCTCATCCACACACCCATGGATTACCAAAATCCAGCTTCTCTATCCCCTGTCATCTGTTGATGTTGCAGCCCTATCTTCTCCATCTGTCATTCTGGCCATGCCAGCATTACTCTTTCGTCCCCAAGCACCTACAGTGATTTACAGTTATGAACAGATCAAGTTTGAGGACTTCATGCTTCCTCGAGAGAGCCTGTTTTCAATTAATTCCATCCTTTGGTGATGATTCCTTTACTTTGTATTCCCTCACCAGTCACATATATAGATTTGTGCCATAATCATTTGCTGCGATATCACTTCTGCTTGGAACAATGTCTCCAATCACTTCTGCTTGGAAAAAATGTCAGCCATTTCACGTGTTTCCTTTATAGATGTGGGCTTATGCTTACATCACAGTGGGCTCTTTCCTAGACATTTAACTGCCCAAGTACTCCAGTACCAAATACACAGTAACGCTTTAGCTATAGTTTTGTGGCCCTGATAGGCATCTCACTGCCTGATTCCTCTGCAACTCCTCAGACACTAAAGGGCACCATATGCTTGGCAAATTATATTATCGACGACTATGAGTGAGTGCGGGAGTATGTCGTCTCTTATCTACTCCAGCAGTTGGGGAAACCCAAGGTGCAAGCCTCAATGCAGCCACATATAGGTTACAAAACTGGCATCAAAATAGAGCATACAAACTCCCGGTACTTATGGGAACAGAAGTACAAATAGGAATAGACAAACAGAAGCAGCTAACATATGAAGACTACCAGGTCCAGAGAAGGGAGTGAATTCATGAGGCCCTTCAAGATAGATGACAGGAAAGCAGGCCTGGAGAAATTCCTTGAGCCCAGCTGCTTACAAAAGCGTTTGCACAAAACTAAGGAGACACGAATGACAGAAGCATGCCCAGATCAGTGAACCAGGCAAACAGAGTGAACAAGCCAGACAATGATTAAAGGGCAGATTATGTCATAGCACATATTTCCACTTAATTATTTACAAAATAGACTACTGCATTAAAGTAATTCAGTTACATCACATTTAAACAGAATAGATAATATGGAGTAAGATATAAGAATTAAATGTTCCAAAGGGGGTGGGAGGACCCATTACTGGGCAGCAAGAGACCACATTCAGAATGAGACATACAAGGCTGTTGGGTTCTCGGTAGCAGGGGGACCTATCAGCAGGATGTGATCACGCTGGCTAGTGTCACCAGTGAGCACACTGGTTCTGTCAGAAGTTATTTCTGAAAAGGTCAGTATAGGAAAAGCACTAACAAAACCCTTTCTCCCCCTGCATGAGAATTTTACCATCAGTTAAATATAAATATCCTATGGATGCTCCCTGCTTTGGGCTTCCTTGAGTGTGGTGACTCTCCTGATGTGTGTGTCCTTTGACTCAACCCTGGCAGCTATGTCTATGAACTTACTACAAGAGAAATTGGAGCCTTTGGGACGTGAAAGCTTTTTGTGTTTTAATTTTTTTAACGTTTATTTATTTTTGAGAGACACAGCATGAGCAGGGGAGGGGCAGAGAGAGAGGGAGACACAGAATCTGAAGCGGGCTCCAGGCTCTGAGCCGTCAGCACAGAACCCGACGCGGGCCTTGAACCCACAAATTGTGAGATCATGACCTGAGCCAAAGTCAGACGCTTAACTGACTAAGCCACCCAGGCGCCCTGATAGAAGTCTTTTTAGGGCAGTCCCACCCCTATTAATGGGTGCGTAGGAGGAAGAGAGAGGGAAACTTCCATTTATTAGGCTGTTTTTAATGCTTACTCTGTTCCCAGAAGTGCAGCAGGCATCTTAAGCTTCAGTCAATTCTTAAGACAGTTCTAGAAGGAAGATATGCTTCTCCCTTTTTTTTTTTACAGGTGAAGAAAAAGAGGATGAGTAAGTGACTGCCAAACATCACAGAAAAATCAGTGGCTAAGTTGTCAGGTCTTTCTGAGACTGAGCTCCTTCCTCTTGTTGCCCTCATTTGTTCATTCCTTTAACAAACTGCTGTCATTAGCCAGGCACTAGGTTAGCTGCTGGGGAAACAGGAGAATCATGCACAGTGCACGCTGCCTTCAAAAAACACACAGAACCGTGTGAGAGACAGACAAAAAGAGATCAGGGTATCTGGTGCTATGGAAAAACACGGGGTGTGATGGTGTGTTCAGCAGGGGCACCTGAGTCTCAGTCTCAGAGGAAAACCTGTCTCAGCACTCCACAGTGCTCCATCGCTGGCTCAGAGCCACCTGCAGGAAGTACAGCCATGCAGCGGTGGACCTCGGCAGTGGAACAGAGCAGCGCGTTTTCGTGGCTGTCACGAGAGGAGACCACAGACAAAGATCACCTGTGCCAGAACCCTTCATCACATCTGAAGCATTTGTTTCAGTGATGCAGAGATGAAGTACTTGTTTCGGTGTCTTTCGTGCCCGCTACATGTGACATTTTTGAGAAGAACAACTGGTCTAGTATAGTGCTTGGTGCAAAGTGGCTGTTAGCTAAATGTCCGTGGTATAAATGAACTGGAATCAAGATGAGCCAGAATCAAAACGGTGTGAGAGATTTATTTCTACAGTAGTACAGCAGCATCCGGCAGCTAGCTGGAACCCATCCCTTTCTCAAAGAGGGGTGCTAGATGGGCAGTTAGGGTACAAAGCCGAGCCACCAAGAAGAGTTCAGAAATCGTCCCTCCCTGGCCGTGAGTACCCTATTCAGCAACAGGTGGTGCCAACCCTAGTCAGAACATGCAGACAAACTCACCCATGAGCTTCTGAAAACACTATTTTCAGTTAACCTGGAAATACTGCTCTGTCATCGGGCCAGCCCCACCAAGTCGCAACGACAATTTCACTATAGTGAGATCAACAAAATTTATTCACTTGACAAACACATACATGCAGAGAAAAAGTAAAGTTCTTAATTTTGTCTAAAAGTAATACAGTTTTTTTTCTGAGCTCCCACCTGCTGGTTGGGGTGGAAGTGTTCAGTCCAATGAGATAGTGAAAAGAATGTCTTCAGAAAATTTTTCAGTCTCTTTAGATTTAAAAATTAAAAGTTGATGAGGCGCCTGGGTGCACCAGTCAGTTAAGTGTCCAACTCTTGATTTCGGCTCAGGTCATGGTCCCAGGGTCGTGGGACTGAGCCTGCACTGGGCTCCTCACTGGGCATGGAGCCTGCTTGAGATTCTCCCTCTCCCTCCCTCAAGCTCGCTGTCTCTCTCTCTCAAAAATAAAAAATAAATTAAATTTTTTTTAATTTTTTAAATAAAACATAATGTAAAAAATGAAAATCTGAGACATAGTCCTGATGCCATGCTTCTCTCCCTTAATTAGGGTCCACGTGTCTGCAGAGAGGGGGGAGATCAATGCTATCTCATGGTAGAAACATCATGTCCTCTCCCTCAGTGTCCTTGTCTTCCAGGGAGAGGTCTGTGTCCCTTGGTTACTGCTTGCTCTGCCTGCATTCAAGGCTGAGTCAGCGCCTATGTTCTGCTCCCACTGACTGCAACCGGGGAGCTTTGAAGCAGTCCTCAGAGGGGGGAAATCAGGACTCTCATCTGCCCTCTGTGCAATCCCCTTTCTGCCTCCCTCTTCTCCTTCCCACCATCCATCCCCTGGGGACTGGAAGGAGCAGGCTTTCACGTATATCATGTCCTCTTATACCACCAGCAACTACAAACTCTGTGGATTCACTATCCTAAGACTAGAATTCCATGAGGCACATGCCTAAGTCTCGACCCTTGATAAGCTAAAATACTAGTGGCTGATATTTGCTGTGTATTTACTATGCTCTAGTCGGTAAAATAACTTACATACATCGTCTTATTTAATCCTCACACCAATCCTATGAGGCATTTTATAAAATTACCTATTTTATAGTGAAGGAAACTGAAGTCCAAGGAGGTTTAGCAATTTTTCAAAGATCGTGTATCTAGTAAGTGATGAGGTCAGGATTTTTTTTTTTTAATGTTTATTTATTTTGCGGGGAGAGAGAGACAGAGCAGGAGCAGAGGAAGGGCAGAGAGAGAGAGGGAGACAGAATCCAAAGCAGGCTCCAGGCTCTGAGCTGTCAGCACAGAGCCCGATGCCGGGCTCGAACTCACAAACTGTGAGATCATGACCTGAGCCTCAGTCGAACGCTTAACCATGAGGTCAGGATTTGAATCCAATGTGTTTGACTCCAGAAATAACACTTTTAGCACCTACACTATACATTTTTCTAGTCCAGCAAAATGTAGGAATACCAGAAAATAACATACAATTGTCATCAGCAGTTGTTGGAAGTTTTTGAGGTCATCTTTGCTTTCTTAAAACAGAGCTTCCTGCAGAATATCAACAGAAGATCAGACTTTCCCTTCCACCTATCCCAAGACAAGAAAATCACATACACAACTTTAAGATCTAGACAGCTCTGTTCATCAATTGTTGGGAAAGATCAGGGACGCCATTTAAGGCAAAGAACATTGGTAGACACTGAAACTCTTTGAGAAATGTTGGAATGTACTTGGGGGTCGTTTTGTTGTTTTTGTTTTGTTTTGTTGTTGTTGGTTTGTTTATTTTTCTTTATGA